TCTTTTGTGCGCTGTTTTGTTTCTGCCTTTGGTAGGAGGGGGGAGGGAAGAAAAGAAAGAAAAGAAGGATAAACAAACAATAAACAAATACAAACCTCTGCATGATATAAAGATCATTTGTCTTGGCTGTTTTTTTGGACCAGTGCTTCCAGGCTTCCATAGTTGACTAAAGACTAAGAAACCTCTAGGTTTTCCGTGCCAGGTTGGGACTGCCCAGAAGCTTGATTAAACTCCACCGTGCTGTCCCCGCAGAAGCGGTCTCCAACCAGGTCTTTGCTCACCCTCATATCCACATTTTCTGCTCTGCTAAGAATATTCGAATCCATAAACAACAGAAAAGGTTGTCTTTACATGTACAGAAGGAAAGTCATGCCAGAATATACAATTATCCTGAGTTGCTGTTTTTCACTCAATGTTGTGAGAAAAATAAAAATATTGTTCCTATAAGATTGTCCCATTGCTCTTGTTAGTCGATCATTATTAGAAAGAAAACTCCCTGGTCGGATTTGGTGGCCCGTGCTTTTAATCCTAACGCTTGAGGGAAAGGCTGGAGGAACTCTGAGTTCAAGGGTAGCCAGGGCTACACAGAGAGACCCTATATCAAAAACAAGCAAGCAAGCAAGCAAGCAAACAAACAAACAAACAAACAAGGAACATCCATTTCTTAAAAGAAAGCATCCCTGCATCTCTGGTCTCTTCAACATGGAATTCTGAGAGGAAGCAGGAGCAGAAAGCCGAGGGGTGGGAAGCCCAATGGGTAGGGGAGGTGGGCTCTCCTCGCCCGCTGATTGGGAAGTGTTGGATGAAGGAACTTGCGACCGCTTTTGTACTTGCGACCCCTTCTGCACCAGCGCTGTACAACTAACTAGCGATTAATCGCCAACCGTCAAGAACCCAGGTGATGTAGACCCAAACCCACTACTGAATCTCAAAGCGAGCAAGAGAATTGAAGGAAGCTGAAAAGAAGCGGAGAGACCTACCTTTGACCCTGAAGATAGAAAACACAGAGACAGGAGACATCATTTCTCTCACTCATTCACTCAATCAGCCGCGGGAACCCTGCTTGAGAAGCCGCGGTCCAGAATTGTTTGGAAAAAGGGCTCTTTCCAAATTGTTATAATTGATGGTTGGTCAGGAGTTCCCTGAAACTCGCTAAAGTCAACGAGTCCCACAAGCAGCTTCCAGGCTAGCAACAGCCTTTTTCTGTTCTGGAACACCAGCCGAGGGGTCCTCTGCTCCCTCTCTCCCACTGCTGGGCCACTGTGCGCGCGGAGGGCCCAGGCAAGCAAACGCTGCTGGAAGTAATCTAGGCCTTCGTTTGACTTATCGCCCTTTTTATTATT